CTGAAACAGAGGTGGAAAGAGGAGAGATAAACAGTGATACTTATGTCCTTTGTCGGTGTCCCTGCCCGGTGGAGTCGCACGGTAGAGTCGATGGTCTTTACATTCTTCGGTCTTCACACGACCGCGACCGCTTCCGCGGTAAACTAAGCTTCTTTTTTATTCGTTTAACAAAACTCAAATTGAATTCAGCTGGACACACTTTCCTGTTTATCACAACAAATGGCCAAGCAAAGCGCACGACACTGACAAGGTACGTGATACAGTACAAGACCAAACGCGATTTCAGCACGTCTCCACACAATGCTGTGTCCCATTTGCACTTTATACATCGTGGAACACACCTGGAGGCTCATCAGCAAAAGGGAAAGGCTTTCTCCAAACAGAGGTTGGCTCACTAGCTAGTGGATGCCATCACCTTGGCTTACCATAGATAGGGCGTGCCATGCCCCTGGGGCTTCCTCCTGGGCATTGGTGCACGACACTAATCTGGCAAACACTTGTAGAGCTACGGGCTGGGTGACACCTAACACCTTTGCGAGATTTTATAGTTTCTGGGTTGAGCCAGTTTCCTCCAGTGTGTTGGGTATGAACAGGTAATAGATGGGAGGGTGGGCTCGGTGTCTTACTTGTGGCACCATTGCCCTCTACAGGGTGCTACAGAGTGCTTTTCCGCTCTTCCAGAAAGTTCCCCTCCGCTCAGCAGAGGAACCTGACGCCAGGCTCAGTAATTGTGTTGCATACATTCGGTCAGCCCTTGTACTAGGCTAGGTGCCCATACATGAGATTATCTTTGGGCAGTCCTTTCCCTTTTTTTGGTAAACCTGTGCCTTTCTCTGGACAGTTTTATTATGTCCATCCCTGCACTGTTAGTTGTTCCATCTCTGGTTAGGTAAGAATTACTGCAGTGGTATATGTAGTAATATCCCTTGGTCAGTCCATATGTGCATATGTGTATTTATATGTCACCTCCCCTTGGTTAGGATGTGGCTCTACTTTCCCAATGTAAATGTATGTATGTGTGTGTGTGTGTGTGTGAGACCCCCTGCTGGCAAGTCGAAATGTGCACAGGCTATTTTTGAGCTAGCGGCCAAAAAGTGAAAAATTTCAAATTTGAGGTTATCACAAAAATGAGTTTGTTAAGCCCTTGTCTAGCAATCCTAATTAATTTTAATGAAAATAACGACATCATGTAGGGGGGAAAATGATTTTGGGTGAATTTTGACCCTGCTAACATCTAACGCTGATTGTTTGTCTCTGCTTTCATTCATACTCACGCTCACACACACAGATCTCTGGAGAGGTAAGAGCAGCTTTCTCTCACTAACTGTGTCGTGACTGTGCTCTTATTTCCTGGTCTGCTGTAATCCAAGCGTCTTCTCTGTATCTCCTTCAGTGATAACGAGAAGTGCTCCATCAGTCAGCAGTCAGTCTGCGAGAGCAAACGCAGCAGCAACGACAGTCTAGCTGACTACGGAGACAGTGTCGACATCCAGTTTAACGAGGACGGCTCCTTCATCGGCCAGTACAGCGGACGCAAAGATCCGAACAGTCACGGCACTCACGGCAGCTCAGGCACCACATCTCCCGTCAATCCCAACATGCCTCCGCCCAGCATCAGCTTTCCCACATCTGTGACAGGATTCCTGGGGCCAAACTAACACTCCACCGCCACACGCACACATCCTTGACCATCTGAATGAAGGGCCCTGATGGTATTAGACAGGATATTGATTTCAGGACAGACAGTCGTTACTATATGATGCAAGAAATGACATCTGCAAACACCGCCAGCTTCACTCTCGCATTATAATGACACACGTGCATCCGACAGACACAAATAATGTGCAGGACAGTTGCTTCTAACATTCCATCCAAGCACTGAAAACTGTTTACAATTTTCACTTCGCTGCTTCAAGTGATGTTTGGATTGTAAATTCTCCCTCATTGGAAGTTTTTCCAGTTCTCTCGCTGAAATTATGCAGAAGAAGGTGTGATAGACAACAGACACAAGCAGGGAAAAGGCACGAATACAACTGTTTGAGAGTGTAGGGCAGACTTGGGCCTTGTTCACGTGGCACACAAATCTGATTGTTTTGAAGATGGGATCTGTAGGAGTGACTGCCTGCACCAATTTTAACGGTCAGTAGAACTGAGGCTGATTCTTTAGATGGTGTAGTCAGTATTTCAGTCAGTACAGGCTAAGATGCATTTCCAGAATTTTTTTTTAACTGTTCAGGCTAAACCAAAACAAAGCGATTTTGCTGCCTCTCTGAACAATGCCTTATGTCGAATACATCAGCTGAAATCACTGCAGTCAACAGAAGTCAGGTCTGAAAGGCTGAAAAGCGAAAATCTTTTTCTATTCATTATGGTTTGAAGGCATTCTTTTCCCATTCACGATTACAAAACATTACATTTATTTGAAGTATTGTTTTTGAATTATTCTTTTACTTATGTTCTTACATTTTTTTAAATATATTTAATACATGTATATACATCTTTTTTTCATAAAGGCGAATATATTTGGTTTATTTTATAATATTTTTTATTTATTTATTATTATTTTATTTTTTGCTTGTAATGCATTTATCTTTATGAATTCATGTTTTATAAAACAGTATGTATGAACATTAATAATCTGCCATGTGTGTCTCTCTGTCTTAATAATCAAAGTTCAGGGCTTTTAACCGTGTATCGTTTGTATTGTTGCCCAAGTGTGTTACCCAAGTAAGTTTTTAAAATAATGGTGTTTTTGATGCAATTTATTACGTTAAATCCCTTTGAAGTACATACAGCCTCTGCACTAAAGCCAAATTTTGTGATCTTAACACTAACATATATTTTTAAAAGAAAAAAGAAAAAAAAAACAGCAAGAAAAACTGATTTCCTGCAGCAAATAACAGCATGAGATGTAGTGCTAGGCTAGTTGATGTAGTGTGAGGCTGTGCCTGTTGTTCTGCTGTAACGCTGAGGCCAAACCCCGGCCAGCAGAGTCGGAGAACTGCTGTGCTCCAGTGTCTGTGTCATCCATCCGTCAGCTTGCAGATATTAACACTCAAACATTGCTAATTATGTACAGTGAATTATTACTAACAATAACAGTCATACAGTATAATCTATCACACATTTGTCTCGTGTCATCAATTGTTCTTTATGGTGTGGGCATTTGTTGAATTGATGTAGTTGGGCTGTTCCTGTCTGAAGGAAATAGCCTTGAACAATATTACGAATAGACACAAACTACAGAACAAACTGATGGTTCATATTCTGAATGTAAGTCATCTTTTACAACTTTTATTTAGTGTTTTCACATTTAACATCTTTATTATTAGATTTAGTGGTATTATTACACTTAATCAGATCTTTAGTTTAGAAAACAGGTCAGAAGTAAAATGCAATTTTTTTAGGGGACTTCTTCTGAATGACTAAATTGTTGTGAATTTC